GATGGATGGATGGATGGATGTAGAGGAGAGAGACTAAAGACAACAGCAGAGTGAGGAATTGTGCTCAGTTTGTGCTCCAGCAGTCTAAGTCTATATCAGCAGAACTAAGGAATAACTCAGGAAACCTAAGTCTAACTACAGGATTTATGAAAAAGGAAAGTCTTCAGTCTAATCTTAAAAGTAGACAGAGTGTCAGCTTCACGGACAGAAACTGGAATTTGTTTCTGCAAGAGAGGAGCTTGATAACTGAAATCTCTGCCTCCCATTCTCTCTCTGGGAACCACAAATAAACCTGCAGTCTGAGAGCRAAGTGCTCTGTTAGGAAAGTATGGAACAATAAGATGTTTAATATAAGATAGAGCTTGGTTGTTAAGAGCTTTGCATGTTAGGAGTAATATTTTAAATTCTATTCTAAATTTAACAGGGAGCCWGTGGAGAGAAGCTAAAACTGGAGAAATATGATMTCTTCTTCTAACTCTCATTAAAACTCTRGCAGCAGCRTTTTGGATTAACTGAAGACTTCTTAAAGAGTTTTTTGGATGCCCAGATAATAAAGAATTACAGTAATCCAGTCAAGATGTGATAAATGCATGAATAATTTTTTCTGCATCATTTTTGGACAAAATGTTTCCAATTTTAGTGATATTACACAGGTAGAAGAAGGCGGTCCTGGTAAAAAATTTTAATGTGGRGGTTAAAAAACATGTCCTGATCAAAAATAACACCAAGTTTCTTTACATTAGAACTGGAGGCCAGATTAATGCCATCCAGAGGAGGTGAAAGGCTACAAAGTTGATCCCTGAGATGTTCAGGTCCAAGAACCATAACCTCTGTCTTATCTGAGTTTAGAAGCAGAAAGTTAAGAGTCATCCATATTTTTATGTCTGTAAGACATGCTTGTAGTTTAATTAACTGGTTAGATTAATCAGGTTTCATGGATAAATATAACGGAGTATCATCAGTGTAACAATGGAAATTTATCCCATGCTGTTTGATAACTTTACCTAAAGGAAGTATACAAAGTAGAGGATTGGTCCAAGAACTGAACCATGAGGAACTCCATGACTAACTCTGGTGTAAGAAGAATATTCATTACTAACATTAACAAACTGAAATCTATCAGTTAAATAAGACTCAAACCATTTTAGAGCWGTTCCTRTAATCCCAATATCAAGTTCAAGTCTACGTAATAAAATATTGCTATCAATTGTATCAAATGCAGCACTGAGATCAAACAGGACAAGAATGGATACATGTCCACTGTCTGAGGCCATGAGAATATCATTAGTAACTTTTACCAGTGCTGTTTCTGTGCTATGATGAGCTCTAAACCCTGACTGAAACTCTAACTCTTCATTTAGATTATTTCTATCCASATGGTCACGTAGCTGATTTGCAACTAATTTCTCAAGAATTTTTGAGATGAATGGGAGATTAGATATAGGTCTATAGTTGGCCTCAGGGTCTCTGGTCAAACAGTTTTAAAGCCTGCTTCTCTGATGGTGTAGGGGTGCATCAGTGCCTATATGGCACAAGTCGCTACATCTGGAAAGGCACCAGCATGGCTAAAATAGCTGCCATCTTTTTCAGGGAAGACTTTATAAACAACTTTTTGGGGTGGGGGTGGGTTATATAAGCACCTTTTTTTYCCTTTGCACAAAGCAGAGCAAATGGGTGCCCAATTTGTTATTTCTGTAACCGTTCTTTTTTTAGTGTCTGAGCTGAAAACAGAAAGCAGAGTTTTAAAGTCTATAAGCATAACAGTTGCACCATTGCTGTGCTTGTGCGTTTGCCACAAGGCATTTGGARAAGTTGATTTGTCTTCTAAATCTGGAGACAATTAGTGGCTGGAACAGAAAGCAAAATGCCAGAGCCAGTGAGAGTTTAAGGATTCCCGCAACACCATGGTGTGTTGACAAGACAGAAAACAGAAGGGAGCTTCGTTTCTCTCTTTATCGCCGCCCTTCTTTCTGCACTAATTTTTCACATGTAGAACAGATTATTTCAGTGGTCTAGATTAAATCCATAATGAGCAGACACATTAACACCTCAGTGACCTGCTGTGTCTGTCTGTCTCTGGTTACAGAACGAGAAAGACTGATTTAAAACTCATGTCGTTATGGAGCTAAATTAGGGCCATGGTTTGTTAAAAAAAAATAATTTTTGGAAAAAAAAACTGCAACTGAAATAAATAAATTAGGTTCGTTCAAAACTACTTGTCAAATTCCAGGTTTTTCTTTCAATTTCAAATATTTTTTTCTAGTTTCATATTTACTTTATGGACCAAATTGAGCTCCACAGAGCCACACCATCATGTAGGCCCTTCCTTTCTTTTCTTTCAAACCGATCCACTGAAACACACATTTCCTACAAGAATGAAGCGTTTACCCTCAGTCAGGTTATTTGACTTCCTTTGCATCCGATCAGGAACTTACGGCATATTAAGAATTAATGGAGCGCTCGTGTCTGTAAATGCAATAACTGATGAGGAAAAACAGGTCCGCGCTGGCTGAGGGTCAGAGGCCGAGAGACGCTCAAGCACATAAATCATGAAACGTGAAGTCTTTTGTGTTGGACATGGAAACAAAGCTACACAAATGAAGACTGTTTTACCCACAATCAGTTTTTTTTTAATAGCTAATAAAGCTGTTGACTCTTCTGCTCTATTAAGCTGGATTAAGTTCAGTTAACTTGTGGTTCTGTTAACTCACACAACAGCCTCTCCTCGTGTGCACTGTCAACACACACACTACAGAGTTCAGTGTTGTTCCTGCCAGTGGTGGAAGTTATCCATCACATTTTCATTCCCCCTCTGTGTGGAGCCCCTCACAATCACCTCATCTCCTCTCATCACATCTGCCAAAACATTTCTCTCTCACTCACTGCAAACACTTTGCAAATGTCCCGCGTGGAAAAGTCTTAAGCACATTACTGTACTGGCATGATGGGGGAGTTTTTGAAATTCAGATATCACTTTAAGTTTGCAGGGTTCATGTGTGAATTGTACTTAATTCTAATTGCTGATGCATTAGTAGAATGTTTTAAATACATGTTCATAAAATAAAATCTCAGCGAATTGCACAAAACAATGCTCAGTTATTTAATAAACATAATTTTTGTGTATGCCATCTTAAAACTTGACGTTTTGTTTTTGTAAAACAAAAAAAAAMCTATCTGAAATCATCTTACACAAACAATAAAGGATCATAAATATGTGAGACCATTTTATTTACCAAAACTGTCTTTAATTCTTTTTGTCCAACTTAGGATCAATGCTGATTTTAAGCATGAGTAAAATATGAAACCAGGTTGACCAATGAGGTGATGCCTTTATTACAAAACATTTTACTTGTATTTTGACTTCATGACAATATGATTACAGGCCTAAAACACAGAACAAATAAATATCTGAAGTTATGAAAAAAAAAGTTTTCCTCCAAAATCTGAAGCAAACCAGATTCTGTTTTTATTATAACAAGAGCAACTCTGAACAAAAAAGGAGAGGAAATTAATTTTCAGTAAAAACACAATGTAAGCRCTTAAGGAAGCTGAAACTAACTTTTAAAGCTAAAAACAACAAATACTCGCTATGAGTTAAATTTCTAAATAAATACCATGTTTATTCTGAGGCTGCAGGTTAGAGCCCAGGTTTCATCAGGCATGGCATCTGGTGTAAAACAATGACCAAATCTTTTACACAAATTTAGGAAAAACTTTATGTGGTTTAGGAACTACAATCCTTTCTGATGAACAAAGCTACCAATGAATATGATAACCTCTTTCCTTAAACTACAATATTAAAAAAATAACATTTCTTATCTTATGCATCTTTGTCTAATGGGTGACATTAGCTGCCCTTACTCTCTTCAAAAACATGAAGAAACTGATTAATTAGACAGCTGGTTAAAAAGAACAAAACTGAACTGATAACATAGCATCTAATGTTGTCAGCTAACAGGCAACGTGAAGTTTCACTTGTCAGTAAATTGGTGCTGCCACCTTGAGTTTGTCAATGTTTAAACGCAGTTAAGATGTTTTGTTTTTATTCAGCCTTTAACTAGGCAAATCCAAAAAAAATAAAAAAATTAGTAGAAAAAAAATTATAAAACAAAAATTATTTCACTTTAAATGTAAATCCAAAAAGATATATTTACTTAAAGACAAAATGGAAACTATTCAAATAAAAGTTCAAGGAATATTCTCTTTTTGAAGGCCAACAGGTCCCCATTTTGCTGCATTTCTCTATAAACCATTTGCTTTTGCCTTGAAGCTCCTCAGCATCTCCTTCATCCTCTGAACAGCAGCCTCATCCTCTTCAATGGCCTTGGAGGTGACGCGCTGCACTCGGCTATGCAGCTCATCCATGCACTTCTGATGATGGACAGAAACCACAAGATAGTGAGCAAAAAGGCTAAAAATGGTGCTCTGCATCTACACTAACTAAAATGTATTCCACAGTCTCTCCTTTCAGATGTTTTTTTTGTGTGTTAGGAGAAATGTACACTTTCACACAGAGGCCTTGGGGGAACACCGGAGAGAGAAAAAAATAGAAAGTCTCCACATCTTTCCTTGTAAGTTAAAATCAATTTGTTTTGCTAGTTTTTCCCTGAAAAAAACCCAACATTTTTTGAACAATACCTCAATAACCGACAACTGATTTGCAGCTGTGGTAAATATGGACGTCAGGTTGCTGGTGACTATTCGTCTTTCTTCGCTCGTCTCTAGCAGCACCAGGTGATACCTTGAGAAGTAACAATCAAATGTTATTAATAATTTTAGTGGAGAGCTGTAAACCTGCATGCAAACACGTTACATAATTGTCAGAATATACAGCTGCTGCTTACTGTTGTTGCGCTGCCTTTAGCTGCTGCACAGCCTCATCATAACCATAATTAACTTTCTCCTCAAGACGTTTGCGGTGGCTTTCCACAGACACTATCTCTCTGTCCCAGTCCTGCTCCTCTCTGGCTAGCTCCTGTGTAAATAAATATGGTGGATATTAGTGTCACATGTACAAAACAACAGTTTCACTGAGAAGAAGTTAAAGTGAACTGTACCTGCATGTTAGACTCCAGTCGTTCGTCCAACTTACGGATCTGTTCTCTGAGCTGCTTAAGGTCATTGGACTTGTCCAGGATGTTGGAAGTTACCTAAAAGACAAAATTGTATTTTAGAGCCACAATAATAAAAAAAAAAATCTAACAAAGAAGTGACTGTTTCTGCTAAATGAAAGAAGTAGCATAGAGTAGTAAAGATTTTACCTGTTCAATGGACTCTTCCAGGCTGAGTTTCAAGTTGACTATCCGACTGTTCTCCTCTTCTACRTCAGTGACCAACTTTCTCAGAAGCATCTACAACACAAACCACAACTACATGAAACACCATCACCTTTAACTTTTAGTAATCCAAGATATGGTTTACATATGAAGAGTTTAATCTTCAAACATACAACTGACACGAGATAATCCAGGAGGTGTAGTTCAGTTTTCCTAAATCTGACCGAGATCAAATCAGTCTCTCACAACAATTTCAATGGTAGTGTGAACTGGACCACTGGTTAGAAGTACCTGCAGCTGTACATTGTGCTGAACTGCACTGCCGGGTCCACATTCCAATGACCTAATCTCAAAATCGTGACCACAGGCGTTTTCTGCCGACTGTGGGATCAGCTTGAGTTTCCGTGCCAATTTGTGGTACTCAGTCAGCTTCAAGTCCACCTAGATTGAAG